TTGGCATCTGTACTATAGTAAAGTGGTGAGTGACATAGGCAAGGTCCCTGTCTTGGCAGACAGCAATAACAAATAAAAAAGACAATCAGCAGACTAATCTAGGAAAATGGTGTGCCTCAAAGATGTGACAATCAGGGAGCACAGGCAGACAGGGAACATCATGTGCTGAGGCCCTGAGGTGAGGGCAAGCTGGCACACATGGCATTTAGGACCTTCCCACTTGGCTAGCCCATGAATCTGGATGAAGTTCAGAGTCTAAAGAACTGGGGGTGGGGGGTGGGGGCTGGGGATATAGCTCAGTGATAGAACACTAGCATGCATAAGGCCCTTTGTTCAATTCCAGCACTACACTACCACCCCCCAAAAAATCCTAAAAAGAAAGTTCTCTATCCTGGTCACTGCTCAGTACTCTCTCATGATATCTATTCAGTATATGGAAATCCAGCCCATCTACTTCGCCATTTTGAAGGGGTTTCTGGAGCCTCCTGGGTCACATGACTGGTTCTGTGCAGAGCCTGCCAGACATGCCAGCCCCACTTCCTGTTCCTCTGCATGTGCCACTCAGGAAGGCCACCCACCAGCAGTGGAGTTTGTCATGACCCTTCCAAGCTCCTACACTCTTATGACTAACATTCTCTAGCTTCTAGGGCTTGGCTCAGAGGCCACTGCTTCTAGGGCCTTTTCCAATCTTAGGCTGTCTGTGTCCTATCCCTTATGTTTACTCCTGAGTTCATGCTTTAAGATGCAACTCTTGAATGATGCTTTGTCTGTGTCTGGGTCCTGGTAGACTGTTTGTATGTTCCCAGGAGAAGGAGACCTGTGATTGCTACTGGCCACGCTTTACCTTGAAGGGTGTGCAATAAGGCCAGTAAAGGCAGGATGGCATAGGTGAGGAAGACAACCTGCTTGTTGAGCCACCTGACTTCTCTGTGCCTGCTTATTCCTCTATGAAATGAATCATTGCAGATGTAGCCTACAGGGTACCACTCAAGGCAACAGTATGCATAGAACCCTGCCTCTCAGCCAGGGACTGGTACACTGAACCCAGGCATGACTGAGGCTTTGTCCTCTTCCCCAGGTGCCTCGTAAAAGAACCAAGGCCTTCATTCAAGGCCCTCACATATTTGTCTTGTACCACTGCCATGGATTCAGTCCTACCTGTCCTTTGACCCAAATTCTACTCACATTCTGTCTCTGCATACAGCAGACTAATGAATCTCATCCAACTTTCCATTGCTCTTAGAATAAAATTCTCACCTCTTAGCAGGACCCAATCTTGGCCCACTAGACTTACCTCAACCCTGACCTGTACACTGTTTGATCTGTAAACTCAGCAGATTTCATTCTACCCCAGGGCCTCTGTATGTCTGGTACCCTGTCTGGAAATCTCTTCCCCCGGTGCTGTTGTCATTTAAGTCCCAGCTCAGAATCTCCTAAGAGGTTTTTCCTGATTATACCTTTGAGGGGTAAGGGGCCCCATTAATGACATCCTGTTTCTTTGAGTGCTTAGTAACAACAAAAGAAGCTACTGTTGCCCCACTGGACTATAAGCTTCTTAAGGCAGATACTATGGTCTGAATGTGTCCCCCCCAAAAAACACTGTGATGGTATCAAGAGGCGAGGACTTTGGGTACACAATGAGTGGATTAGTGCCTTATAAAAGGGTCAGAGGGAACTAGCTTATATCTCCCTCAACCCTTCTGACCTGTTATGTGAGGACACAGCATTCGTCCCCTTTTCTTCCCTTCCTGCCATGTGAGGACACCAAGACAGAGCTATTTATGAGGAATGGGCCTATCAGACACTGAGCCTGCTAGCACCTTCATCATGGACTTCCCAGTCTCAAGAACTATAAGAAAATAAATTTCTATTGTTTATAAACTACTCAGTCTCAATATTTTGTTATAGCAACACAAATGGACTAAGATAGCAAGGAACCTGCTCTTCTTGTTTGCTGTTTTCCCAGTACCTGGTATCTGATGCTTAATAACAACTCTAAGTTAGTACTTACTGGGAAAAAAAAAAAAAAAAAACGGATTTATTAAGCATTTGCTGTGTACAAGGCTCTTGGCACAAAAATGTGACTAAAAAGACCCAAATCCTTGGGGCTGGGGATGTGGCTCAAGCCGTAGCGCGCTCGCCTGGCATGCGTGCGGCCCGGGTTCGATCCTCAGTACCACATACAAACAAAGATGTTGTGTCTGCCGAGAACTAAAAAATAAATATTAAAAAAAAAAAAAGACCCAAATCCTGATCTCCAGAGACTTATATTCTAAAACAGTTCCACACAACAGACTGGCTAGAGAGGGAGTTCTCTGCAGGATGTGGTGTTATAATGATATACCAGTATCTTCCCTTTTCAGAACCCCTGTGACTATAACAGCCTTTCTGTTTTTGTTTATTCAGGCTGATTATTCTCCAGCCTCTGCTCTGGTATAACCTTTAGTCTGAAAGTCCAAATTTCTGTTTCCTGTACCCCCCAAGGTCTGTCAATGTGGAGTCCTTGAGATGGCATCTATTTTCCCCCTGGACAGAGAATTCTGTGGTGTCAGGTAAGAACAGAGTTGAATTGCTTTCTCCCAGCCCTCAAACATGTTTGGTGAATACAAGTTTTCCAAAAAGGCCTTACTCTTTGAGACGCCCAAGCCTACTTGTTATTGTAGTGCCCCTGCCCCAGGTTTCCAGACTACAGTCCTTTGTTGAAGACTCGCTTCTTACTCTGTGGCCTGAGCTCTGGCATTGACTAGCTGGGCCATCTTGTGCCCAGCTATAAAATGTGGTACAGGATACTTGCTTTCTTGGACCCTGGGAGACTCAGTTGCTCTTCCTCTTCTTGCCCTGAGCCCTGGAACCCCTTGATCCTGGAGCCCCATGGAGCAAAACATCTCCAAATGGCCATCCTAGTCTTGGCACAGGCAGGTCAGCCCATATGAAGATGTTCCTGTAGGGGGTGATAAGGGTAAGGCAAGGCCTTGACATTTGTCCTGATAACAGCTTTAGCTTTCAGAAACCAAAGCAGCTGCCAGATATTGATGCCTGGAGTCAAGAGACAACCCCACCTGAGACCTAGAGTCTGCCTGGAAGGCCCTGGTCTGGCTTTAAGTTGTTGGCTGTCACTAAGAAATAAAGGCTGTCTACTGTCCTTGGTCACTTAACCCCTCTGGACCTCAGTCTGTGCCTTTACAAAAGGGCAAACAACAGTGGTGGCCTATTTTACCCAGTTGCTATGAGGAGTAATGAGGCACCACATATAAACAATTTAGCAAAATGCCTGCGGCAAGAAAGCTCCCTATGAATGTGAGCCATTACCCCACTAAGACTCAGGAAAGAAAGTATCTCAGTAAAGACCACAAAGTTAGATAATTGGAAGACTAGAGATGTAAACTCCAGTGTAATGTTCAGATTCTATTCCATGCTGCAATCACAAAAAAAAGACCAGTCCCTGGGTGTGATGTGCCAACGTTCCCTAACATCTTAGGCTCTGGGTCCCCCATACTCTTGACCTCTCTCCTAAGTTGGCATCTCACTTGTTTACTAACATCAGCCTTGTCTGTATCTTAAGCAAAGCAGGAATCATGGCTACCTCCTTACTCCCATTCTTGGACAATCAAAGGGATTCTAGCTTCCTCAAAGCAGAATGAACCACAGTGAAAAAGACAGGTCGTTGAGTCTGGGAGCCAGGGAAAAGGGCCTTCCCATTGCTGGACAGACACTCTCTCGGGCAGCTGCCTCCCCTTATTGGTCTCAGTTCCGACAGTTCCCCCGTGGAGAAGGGACCTCCCAAGGCAGCTCCAATAGGACCTTTCGCTTCTGACCGCTATCAGAAGTAACTGGGGTCCTAGCCCTGGGAGTATCAGTAAAACACAAATGAACACAAGTGTGGGGGAGGGAGGCGAGGCGCGAGAGTCCACCTGGCCAGGTTTCGCTCCAAGCTCCACACAGCCTGGGCTGGGACGACAGTCGGCCCAAGGTCGCGCGGCCAGACCCTGCGCTGCGCTAGGGCGGTGTCCCCCTTGGTCCCCAGGGTGAGGGCTTGGCCCTCACAGAGGCACTGACCGGGCTCGAGCTGCGACCCCGCCGCCTCCGCCTCCGTCCTCATGACCCCGGCGGCGCGGGGCGCCCATGGCCCCGGCCCGGCGCGGGCTGTAGCTTCGGCTTCTGCTGGGCCAGGAGCGCGACCGGTGCGTGTCGAGTTCCTCGGTCGCCGCCGTGGTAGGGAGAAGGGGAGGCGGCGGCCCGACCGCCTCAAACCCCGCCCTAGCTGTCTCAGGTCTGGAATCCCGAGGCCCCGCCCTTCCCTTCCCTTTCCCAGACTTGGGTTCCTAGAGGCCCCAGCCACCAGATTTAAGCCCGCCCCCGCCATTCGCAGTCCGGGTTTCCGATGGTCCCTCCCCCTTGTCCAATCCTTATGCTAACGTGACGCGTTTTCCGGAAGCTCCGCCCCTTTCCCTGAGCCCCGCCCGGAAGCCCCGGCGTACTGCGAACAGTGGCTTTTCAGAGGCTCTTCCCCTTAAGAAATTCCGCCAGCCTTCAGGGCCTGTCCTTTGCAGCTTCAGGTGTTAGCCCTAGTCCCGCCTTACACTTGGCGGAGGCTCCAGGCATCCTTTCTCCGGCTCCCTTTAGGGATTTTCCCAGGGCGGCCCCCCTACACTTCATTTCTCTGTACAGTGACATACCTCGCCTTGCTCAGACGCCCTCACCAGGCGGTGACGTGATCCAAAGGTTAAATTGTGAGGCGAGATCCTGGCCCTCGGCACCACTTCCTGTCGCCCCCGATCCGAGGGCCCAGGCCCCAGATACCCGCCTTGCTGTCCAGCTTGCCCTTTGTGTGAAGTGCTTGGAAGTGAGAGCATTCCTGTCCCCTTGCCGGCTCCAGGGTCGGTGTTTCCCTCAACCCCTGGGCCTGTCATCAACTCACTCTCTTCCGGCGCCGGAACTGTGGTACCTTAGTCCACGTTTTCCAGCCGGCGGGGTGAAGAGGAAGCGGAGACTAGACCGCGCCCATCAATAAGCAAAGGAAAGGGCGGGTCATGCGCGCGGCATTTTGGGAACCCGTGGTATTCTGGGAACGTGGTTGCCGCCATTCGCTTTCCTCACGCCTTTGCAGTCGCTTCAATTTTAGCCACATCTTAGAGAAGAAGGAGTAGGCCGCCGCCGGTGAGGAGAGACCGAGGATGGGTGAGGGGAGGCCGAGGCACTTGTGAGGGCTGGACGTCGGAGAAGGATACGCTGCCCCGGAGCTCAGCCGGAATAAGGGAGGGAGGGAGGAGAGCGGGAAGCGGGGCCCCGCTCCATCATATTATTAGCACTTGGAATAGTTAATCACTAACTCTTCCCCAAAGTAGGTGATTTTCACTTCCTATGCTTCTACAGGTCATTGTTTTCCGACATATCCAGTAAATCTTGGAATCACTTCTGCCTAATCATTTTCTTCCCCGAAGTCCTGTTTGGGTCATCCTTTTCAAAGGTCTTTGCATTTCTGCCTCTTTCTTGCAGTGCTTTCCAGACTGCTCTAGAAGGTGTAACAAGTTTTTCTGCTTTTATAAGTGCTGTTGTTTTTTCGTTATGTATTTTCTTATGTATAAACCTGTAGCTTCCTGTTGTTATAATACAAATTCCTAAAGCTGAAAGCCATGAGTTCTCACCAAGGCATTCTCTTTACCCATCTACCTTCTTTGTCTCTTGAACACATGGTATGTGTTCCACATTTGAGTCATTGAGTCATCTCACTAAAATGTTCGCCGCTTATTTCTTTTTAATTAGTGTAAATCAAACGTTTATCCTGATTATTTTTCCTTCACAGTAACATTGCTTGCTTACAGCACGTTATCACTCTGAACATTTTGATACTTTTTTTCCTTAGCCTTGGTAGTGCAATAAATGGAGAGTCGAAAGACCTGAGTTGAAAAGCACAACCTCCACTCTTAGATTTGTCTGGGTCCTTTGGTCTGTGTCTGCACTACCTAGTATTGTGGTCTCTGGCCACACATGGTTGTTGAGCACTTGCAATATGCCTAGAGTGACTGACTGAATTTTCTGTTTTATTTAAGTTTAATTAGGTGCATGTAGACAGTGACTACCATTCTAAACAACTCAGGTCTATAACATTCTCAAAATTGAGTCACTAGCAATTGTAGGTTGACAAATATATTATTCTGAACGTGCATGCCAGTCCTCTCTCCCCCAGCATGCACACTGTATTGATTATTAATTATTTTGATAAAGATTAAGGGACACATAGTAGGGTGGGAGAAGGGAGGGGTTCTTTTCATTCCTATTAGCTTTCCCTTTGTCCATCCTATGACTCCTGTCCATCTCACATCTTGCATGAGTTTGCTGTGGTTCTTCCAAGCCAAGAACTAAGCTTCCTTTCTTTTTGTTAATTTTTTTAGATGTTGATGAACATTTATTTATATGTGGTGCTGAGAATCGAACCCAGTGCCTCACACATTCCAGACAAGTGCTCTACCACTGAGCCACAACCCCAGCCCGCTCCCTTTCTTTTATTGAAATTGTAGCTTTGGCATCTTGGAGTACCAGCCCTTCTTGGACTCTGAAAATTAACTGAATGTTATTTCTCTCACTGTAGAACTCTGTTCCGGCCAAGATGTCTATTGGTGTGCCGATTAAAGTTCTGCATGAGGCCGAGGGCCACATTGTGACATGTGAGACAAACACGGGTGAGGTATACCGAGGAAAGCTCATTGAAGCAGAAGACAATATGAACTGCCAGGTACCCTGCTTTACATGAGGTTGTGAGGGAGGTGTGTTCCAGTATCTCAGAGGACAAAAGGGTGGTGGGTGATTAGAGGTTTTTATGAGGCTCTTCTCATTCATCAGTTATTTACTGAATGCCTAATGTGTGCTAGGCACTCATAGGCTCTCAGACTATATGCATGAACAGGAAACTCAGGGTTTGAGGCAGAAAAGCCATATATAAATTTGGAATTTTGGGCTGGGGATGTGGCTCAAGCGGTAGCGCGCTCGCCTGGCATGTGTGTGGCCCGGGTTCGATCCTCAGCACCACATACAAAACAAAGATGTTGTGTCCGCCGATAACTAAAAAATAAATATTAAAATTCTCTCTCTCTCTCTCTCTCCCCCCCCCCTTAAAAAAGATATAATAAATTTGGAATTTTGTCCTTTGTTTTCTCTATCCTGTAATCATTTTCTCCCATATTTTAAAGGGCTATTTTAGAGAAATGTTGCTGTTCCCTTTGGTAAACTCCTTCAGAGTCAGGGCTGTTATTCATTTTCCCCACATGCTTTGCAGTTGGCAAAATCTTCAGTACAGTGTGTTCTTACTTTTTTCTTGGAGGAAGAAACTCATTTGATTATTGTAACTACCTTGTGAGGAAGCAAGTTTGATGATAATCTTGATATCCATAAAGTAGAGAGAATGAGATTAAAGAATTAAGCTACTAGACATCATTCTGCTACTATATGACGGAAAAGCTTCCTGATGTGGAACCCTTCTCATAGCACTACTTTGTTTTTTGCATAGTCACATGAATTTTTTTTTTTTTAAATATTAGTTGTTGATGGACCTTTACTCATTTAGTTATATACAGTACAGAGAATCAACCCCAGTGCCTCATACACGCTAGGCAAGTGCTCTACCACTGAGCCACAACCCCAGACCATAGTCACGTGAATTTTTATAGCATTACTTGATATGATCTTTGTTCTTTAAATCTGTGGTTAAGAGTTTGAGCTTTGGAATAAAAAATGTGAATTTTAATTCTAACTAGCTGACCTTAGGCATATGAATTGTCTGTTTCCTTTTCTGTAAAATAGAGATGGTGTTATTTGGGGACTCTCATAGTTGGATGTATAAAAGTTTTATTCAGGAAATGTCATTAAAGGATAATAGAGCTAGGTATGGTGCCACACACCTATAATCCTTGCAATTTGGGAATCTGAGGCAAGGCAACTGCAAATTTGAGGCAATTTAGTGTTTCAAATAAAAAATAAGATGTAAAGATGTAGTTCTGTGGTAAAACAACTGAGTTCAATTCCTAAGAACACAAATAAAAACACAAAAGGATAATGGAACAAATAAGCATGAGTAGGCAAGAGAGTTTTCAGTCTGAGGTGTTAGTTTGACCAGGGAAAGGAGGATTGAGCAGAAAGAGCCTCATACTGCAGCATAGCTCTGAAGAAGTCTCAGCCAAACGGATTGCTTCTATGAGAAGTTTAGAATAGAACAGAAATGGTCTGATTCTAGTACTCCTGCCATGGTTAGTATTTGGCCAAGAGTTTGTGGAGAGAGAGACCACAGGGTGAATGCTGTAGTGAATCCCACAGGTGGCAGCTTGAGGCTGTCAGGTCCCTGTACTATTCAAAGTCTGTTGTCTCTTGAGGGAGATATGAGCAGCACACTTCCAAGACTGTTACAAGGATAATACCTAAATCTCATGGTTGTTATATATATATATCAGATGAGTTATGTGTGTGCAGCAGGTAGCTCAGTGCCTCACATGTTGTTATTGTTCAACGTAAGGTACCTATTACTGTTCTCTAGGTTGGAGAGGTAAAGAACCTTATCCTGGATTAAAATGGGGGTCAGGGGTTCAGACTGTCTATTGCTTTGCAGTATTCATTCATTTATTTGTGATTTTTTTTTCTGTACCTTTGAGTCTATAATCTTTCTGCCAGGTTGAACACCTCAGGCATTTCCTTTGAATGCAAGGAGATTGACATCAGTAACTGAGGTTAATCTCCTCAGTGTTATTGTGAGAGTTCAGGCTCCTATGCTATCTGTTCTTCAACAGGAGGGTCTGAAAATTTGCACCTTTCTTTGTGCTATAAAGGGCCTGGCCTCTGTTACTCTTTTACTTTCATAAGTGCAGTCTTTTAGCTTAAGAGATCCTCATCTGTTTCAAGGCACTTTAGTTTGGAGAGTAGAATGCAAGACTTAGGGTAGTGACTCTTAATGTGCTTATTGAAATACTTGGGTTTTTTTAGTTAATTAATTTGGGCAATGTACTGAATCTTCAGGGCCTCAGACTTACAGACCGTTGGTATTAGACCTGAAATCACCTTGCAGTCTGCCATCTAGTATGACTTGGGATAAACTTTGGACCTCTTTCACACACTATTTCATTCTCCACATCAGGGATAAGAACCATAGTACAGAGGAAAGGAGAGATGTGTGTCAAATGTTGGATGGGGGGCCAGTTACCTGCTTCCCTGCCTGTATTAGTTTTCTAGATCTACCATAATAAAGTTATACAGACTGGATGGTGTAAACAACTGAAATCTGTTTTCTCACCTTTCTAGAGGCTAAAAGTATGAGATCAGTGTATTGATGGATTGGTTTCTTGATAGGGCCATGAGGGAAGGATCTGTTCCAGGCTCTCTTCAGCTGTGGAAGGCATCTTCTCCCACGTGGTCTTTCCTCTATAGCATCTCTGTCCAAGTTCCCCTCCCCCCCTTTTAAACTATTTTTATGTGGTGCTGAGGATCGAACCCAGGGCCTCACACTTGCTAGGCAAGCTCTCTACTGCTGAGGCACAACCCCAGCCCCAAATCCCCTCTTAATAAGGACACCAGTGTATGTGTTAAGGTCCACCCTAATGACCTCATTTTTTAACTTAATTGTAAACATGATCACATTCTGAGTTACTGGGGATTAGGGCTTCAATGTGTGGATTTTTGCAGGGACACAAGTCTCTAACCCTATCCATGTCAAAATGATGAGGCTTCATTGGGTCTACCAGAACTTAAGCTCACTGAATGTAGCAATCTGTGTGGCATTCAACTTGGCAGCAAGTAAACACTGAGCACTGTACTCAGGGAATACCCGGCCATATGTTCCTTCCTAGCTGGTCAGTCTGCCCTTTGGAAATGATGTCATACTCCCAATACTCTCCCTGCTTATTCTTTGCCAGAGGGTAGTGTTAATAACATTTTCTATTATAAAAATGGGATGGGTTAGCACTTTGCAAAGATTTGGAAAACAGTTGCAAGAATCTCAGTTGATGGACTTCTTTCCCAACATGTATTTTGGGGTTTAGTGTTTGCCTTATAAAAACTTTCAAAAAGAATTAGAGCTACTATATAGCTCGGTGTTAGATCCCTTGAATGCATGCACAAGGCCCTGGGTTTGATCCACAGCACCATAAAATCATAATAAAAAAACCCACCTTCCAATTTAAGGGTTTATTGTGGGAACCTAACGTGGCTGTCAAAGCAGTGATCTTGAATTTCTGCTTCATGAGAGTATAGTTAAATGTTATAAGCTGGGCATGGGGGTGTGTGCCTAAGGCCCTAGCTGCTTGGGAGACTAAGGCAGAAGAATTGGTAGTTCAAGCAACATTTAAAAAACAAAAAAAAAGGAATAAGCCCAGCACAGTGGTGCACGCCTATAATCCCAGCAGCTCAGTGGCACTCAGGAGGCTGAGGCAGGAGAATCGTGTGTTCAAAGCCAATTTCAGCAAATAGTGAGGCCCTAAGCAACTAAGCAAGACCCTGTCTCAAGATAAAATGTAAAAAAGGGTTCAGGATATGGCTCAGTGGTTAAGCACTCCTTGGTTCAATCCTCGATACAAAAAATAAAATTAAAAATTAAAAACCCCAATGTCCTACTTTATCTTCTCTAACAACAACTTCTTCCTCCCTTCCTCAATGTGTGTGTGTGTATGCATGTACATGTGTGTACATGTTAGCAATCAAACCTAGGGCCTTATGCATGCTAGACAAACATTACCACTGAGCTACACCCTCAGCCCCTTATATGGTAGGATAAAAATTGAGGAATGTGTCTTGATTCAGGTAAGCTAGGCTAGAAAGTAAAATGAAACTATAAGCAGTCAGTTCCCAGCAATATAACCCCAAATCCCTGTACATTAAATAAAGGTATATTCAGGTACCTTTATATCATTACTAAGATATGTAGTGTTCATAAGTTGTACAGATTGTCCTGGCATGCTAGGGAAATATATTAGATGATATCCTCAATAGTATTCCTAGTATTTTTAGAAGTAAAATATGGCTTCTTTTAGGGTCCCTTGGATATTTCTAAGATAACCTATTATAATACTTTTTTTGATATTTGGAAATGTAATGAAAGCATGCATTAAACCTGTGATGAGATCCCCTGAAGTAGCATTTAGTGGGTCAGAGGCTGCTAGCGGTTCTGTGCATCTGTGGTTTAGAAGGTAGCGGCCTTTACTTTCCTCTATAACCTCACAACTGCAAGGCAAGTATTGTCTGGTGACCAATTCTGAAGATTATGACATCTGCTATGGGTGATATTGTACTACTACTTTTGCTGTGGGCATCCTCTTAAGAGTGTGGATGGGGTTGAGCAAGGGCCCTTGTGACATGCCGCATGATTCTTATTAGCCATTTTTTTGTTTGTAGCAGAGATGTGACATCCCTCATCTCTTGTCCAACGTGGGGATGTAAGACTTAGAACTAAAGGCCCCTAATGGTGCAAGTTTCTGTTCTTCGTCTCTCTGTACCCAACAAAGACTTAAACCATCCTGTCTTTATTAAACATCAAAGGAAGAACCAATCTTAAAGTAAGAATGCAAGTGTGATGTAGTGGTACACTCTTTTAATTCCATTTATTCAAGAGGCTGAGGCAAGAGAATTGAAAGTTCCAGGCCAGCCTGGACAACTTAGCAATACCCTGTTCAAAATAAATTAAACAGGGGTGGGGATGTAACTTGAGTGTAGAGCACTTGCCTAGCATGTATGGTTTAATCCCCAGTTCCACAAAAAGAA